GAGCTCTGACAGGCACACAATTGGTGCCATTTTGTCTGGAATTCTTCCTTTTATTGTTCTAATCAGGCAACATTGTAGACACAACTCACAAAGTCCTCCAGTAAGTTGTTTTTTTCAAAACTTCAAACATATAATTACACAGTTTCTTTGTAAAGGTCCTGCATTGGTTTGCCTTATTAAAATCAACGCCTCACATTTATCTAAATTAAACATTTTCTGCTGCTCCTCAGCCCATTGGCCCATCCATTCAAGGTCCCGTTGTACTCTGACATAATCTTCTTCACTGTCCAATACGCTACCTATTTTGGTGTCATCTGCAAACTTGGTAACCATACCTCCTATATTCACATCCAAATCATTTATATAAATGATGAAAAGCAGTGGACAGGCATTGATCCTTGTGTCATACCACTGGTCACAGGTGCATGGAAACCTGAATCACTTGTGTGTTCCCCTCCAAGCCACTCACCATCCTAACTTGGAAATATATCACTGTTCCTTCACCTTTACTAGGTCAAAATCTTGGAACTCTCTCCTAAAAGCAATGTAGGTCTACCTACAGCACATGGGATACAGTGATTCAGGGAACAACTCACCACCACCTTCTCAAGAGCAACTAGGAACATGCAATAAATTCTGGTCCAGCAGTGATGCTCGCATCCCATCAGTGAATGAATTTTTAAAAAATTGGCAATTTGGTGGTTTAATCAACTTTTCATATTCTGACAACTGTGGGAATAGTTGGGCTTCATGTCTAGTGCACTACCCCTATGGGTTGTGACTGGAATAATAATAACAATTGCTTACTTATCGATAACAGTTGGCTGTTTTAACAATTAGGTTTCATGGCATAATAATCTGTATTTTCACAATCTGATAACCAGTAATTGGAAAATGCAAAACAAAATCCCAATTCTTTCATATTTATTTGTCACAGTTCTCCTTCTTAATGCATAAGTCATTCAGCACTTTCTTATAATAACTTTACATTTTTTGTCATCTTCAAATAATTTATGTGAAATTAAGCCTTAAATGAATACATGAAAGGAAAGTAAACAATAGGGAGGAGTGGTTGCTGTTGTCAAGCCAAAACCTTTCAAGTGAAATATTTATGAAATGAAAAAATAGATTATTGAGAAACAAATTGACCAATAGAAGAAACTCTCCTGAAAACTCTTTAGCACTGAATTTCCAAATTATTTTTAAAATTGACATTGAAACAGTCTTTTTAATAGAGATGGTGATAAAAATTGAACAGTAAAATTAATGCAAGTAATAAGGAATAGTACGGTGGAAGGATTGAGAAGCAGAGCGCACAGATTGAAGGTAATTAGTAAAATCAACAATGACATGAGGAAAATTCTTTTCACACGGCGAGTATTTAGCAAGTGGATTTCACTGCCTGAGAGTATGGTGGAGGCAAATACAAATGAAGCTTTCAAAAGGGAATTGTATTATTAACTGAGAAGGAATTATTTATAGAGCAATCTGGAAAAGTGAGGGAATGGCACTAGAGGAATTGCTCCCTCGGAGGGCCAGCACTGGCATAACTGGCAAAATGGCCTCCTCCTAAAGTGTAACCACATTCTAATTCTATGATAATAACACCCCTCATGATGGTATTAGTAAAGAAGTAATAAATCACCACTATTAATTGAAAATTACAATTGAAGAACTTGGAGCCATCATATGACACGAAAGTTGTAAAAGAGATGTGACAAATTAAAATCAATGGATAAAATTAGATGACCTAGAAGCTAGAACTTAAAATCTTGTAAACTCTAGAGGTTAAAATCTCACTGAGGGAAAAAAAATGTTCGGGATGGTGAGATGATGGTGTGTAAATGGCTTGATCTGTTGTCAAGCCATGATCATGATTGTGATTTATCCATGTATGGTGCCTACGTGACAGTGCAGTAACTCTTGGCACTGCTAACAATGTAGTTCTGCTCTATATGTGAACCAATGTTGCAATTGAAAGCTGCTTGTTATGTATTAAAGGTACTATGTATCCAGTCAGTACTGTGTTTATCAATTAGCACTGTGCATATGGTCAGTAATATATTGGTGTCAGACAATGTATGCATACTCTGTGCTGTCTAGATCAGGAGGAGCCGTTTTGATCTTCATAGTTTAAATATTGGCCAACATGCTATATATCACAGAATCACAGAACTGTTACGGCACTGAAGGAGGGCATTTGGTCCATCATGCATATACTGGACCAGTATTGTACATGTGTATGTCTGGCTAGTGCTAATATAACCAGGCACTTTATGTATGGCCAATATGGCATATTAGTCTGGCACTGTATACACAATTAATGTTGTACTTATAGAATTAAATTATACATAGTGTTTTGACTTTGATGGGAGGAGTGCACCGGAAATCAAATCCCACTACTCTGTGAGTCAAATTAAAAGTGTAAACATCTCACTAAATCCCAAAATCTGTTTTGCTTTATGACTGTTATCCAGTCAGAAGAGACTTGCACCAGGTTTCTTCAATAAACTCAAAAATAGTTTGATTATTAGAAACAAACTTTACTTTAAACACTTGGTAAAGTGGTTATCAAGGAAGCTATTATGCAGAATTAAACTATATCCCCTTTAATCCCAATACATGCACACATTCATATACAGGCAGAATGAGACCCATATACCTGAGAACAATTATGAGTAAAAAATGTAAGAAAAAAATTGTTGATCAAAAGTCCAAACTAAAGTATAGAATGATGTGACTTTGTCACAGTCCCTTCAGTTCCATGCTGACAATACCACATTGATGTTGGCCGGGAAATGATCAAAGAACCTCAGTTTGGGTATCAGGTCAATTAGATATATGTGTCACGATTGAGCTAACAATTCAGTTTTCAGGGTTTATGAGGAGATCTGAATTCATGATTTCTGGAGATATCCTTAATTGTCAGGAAATACTTCACAGAGATATCTCTTCAGTTGATTTTCTTTAAGGGTTATGTTGTTACTCACTGAGAGTGAGAACAAAAGAAATAGCATTGCTTCCTTTCAAGCATATCTACAATGGCACAATCCTCAAGCCTGTGTCAAAACAGAAACCAAACTTCCAGAGGCTATTGCTGTGTGACCTTCAGCACTAGTGCCCTTCCAAAACTCAGTCTATTTATCTAACATGTAGTTCATTAATAAAAAATCTCTTGTCTCTCTTTTAAAATCCTTTATTCCAAAGTCACTTGGTTTTTTGTAAACAACAGACAATCCCCAGTTCTTCTGACCTTTTGATTTTATCATTCCAAAATGTCAGATGGTAAAGCTAGTGCAACCCAGAAATAGTACATTATCATTTTTCCAATTTTCATAATTGACAAATATATATATGTGTTCTTAACAATAGGCTAGGGCACTGCCTGTGTACTAGCATGATACATAAGATTGGTGCAATGTCTATGAGTTGGAACAGATACATACATGATGTGCCTATGGGATGACAATGTATACATGACCAAACTGTGTCTATGTCCAGCAGTGACCCGATGGTCTGGCACTGTATGTGAGTCCAGTGCTGTAGGTTGGCGCTGTGTATTTGTCCTGTCTCGTGTCTATGGTCTGGCACTGTAAATCTGTTCTGTTTTGTGTCTCTGTCCTGTGCTATACTGTATATTTGTCCTGTGCTCTGTCTGTGTTCTGTGTTGTGTATCTGTCCTGTGCTGTGTATCTGTCCTGTGCTCTCTATATCTGTTATTTACTCTGTCACTGTGCAGTGCTCTCTGTATCTGTTCTTTGCTCTGTATCTGTGCTGTGGTGCCGTCCTGTGTTGTGCTCACTATCTGTCCTATGCTCTGAACATGTGTTGTGCTCTTCATTTGTGCTGTCCTTTGTATCTGTGCTATCTTGGAGCTCTCTATCTGTCCTGTGCTCCCCATCTGTGCTGTGCTGTCCTGTGTTGTGCTCACTACCTGTCATGCGCTGTGCTTTGTTTCAGTCCTGGATCTCTATCTGTACTGTGCTCTCTTCTGTATTTGTCCAATGCTCTGTGCCTGTCCTGTGCTCTCTATTTGTGCTGCATTCTGTGTCTGCGCTCTGTATCTGTCCTGTGCTCTGTCTGTCCTATATTGTGTCTCTGCAATCTGTTTCTGTGCTGTACTGTGTCTGTCCTGTACACTCTTTCTATCCTGTACCCTGATTCTGTCCTATACACTATCCATCCTGTGCTCTGTCACTGTGCCATACTTTGTCTTTGCCCTGTATGCTCATCTGTTCCTGTCCTGTATTCCCTATCTGTGCTGTGCTCTCTACCTGTATCTGTGCTGTGCTCTCTATCTGATTGTGCTCTCTCTCTGACTGTTCTCTCTATCTGTATTCGTCCAGTGGTCTCTCTCTCTCTCCCTGTATCTGCACTGTGCACTCTACCCGGTTGTGCTTTCTCTGCATCTGTGTTGTGCTCTCTCTGTATCTGTCCTGTGCATGCTACCTGTATCTGGTCTGTGCGCTATTTGCACCTGTCCTGTGCTTTCTACCTGACTGTGCTCTCTCGCTCTATTTGTATCTGCACTGTACCTTCTCTCTGTATCTGCACTGTGCCCTCTATTTGTATCTGCACTTTGCCCACTCTGTACCTGCGCTGTGCCTTCTCTCTGTAACTGCACTGTGGCCTCTCTCTGTATCTGCGCTGTGGCCTCTCTGTATCTGTGCTGTGGCCTCTCTCTGTATCTGTGCTGTGGCC